TTCATCGATATCAATCAATTAGACGAATCGATAATAAAAAAGAAGTGGAATACATCCATTATTTCCTTGTTTTAACCTAACTCAAAACCACTCTTTTATTTTCTTATCAGAGGAATCAATCAAACCCAATCTGAAGTAGGCCAAAAGCGAAAAGTCTGACATCCCGATCGCCTCCAGTGTTGCCACTCATATCAATGAAAGCTTTTTTCTTTGCACGACTTTGAAGAAGAAAAAGAAATAATAAATGTGCAAACAAATTCCTTCTAAATAAAAATCAATAATGATACAACTGTTTAAAAAGAGCGTATTTCCAGAATTTGAAGAAAAAAGCTTGTAATCTTCGATCTAAATTTTAATTTCTTCTATGTAAATTCTTGTATATTTGGAAGTACGGTTTCGCAACAATAATGCTTTGGTGCTGGAACTGAGCGTCAAAATTACTTGTGGCAATTGGTATTCCACCTACGTGGTGCCGCACTAAAAAGAGATACCAGCTCCCAGGGAATGTACTAGGTTTACAATGGTAAAACACCAATCTATAGCCCCATTAAAAACAAGTAATATATAAAAAAAAAATTTGAAGACAATTCCTATTTTGGTCAACAAAGAAAAATTTTATTTTAATTACTTCTTATTAAATAATTACAATTAATGTAAATATGTATATACAGAGGACAGAATCACACTATTCAGTGGTAAAATAGAAAGCCCTTTTGCCTTGCAATTTTCCATTTTTACTTTCTATATAGTGTTGAACTGTTATTTTTGTTTGTTACTATTTATTCATTCATAAATCACATTTTTAGAAATTAGGCCATCCCAAGTAGGATTCGAACTCATGCCCTTTGGATAAGAATTCCAACGCGCTATCCTCGTTGGTCTGGTAGTTAGGAGAGGAAGGTGCCCTCCTCGTCACTTGACCATGATTCAAAATCCCTCGTGTATAGCTGAACAGTGCGAGGTTAATATTCACCACCAATGTGCTACCATGACGCTACAGGGACACAACAAGCGATTTTCCTTTTTATATATGGTTTTGGACTATTTTTTGTTGTTTGTTACTATTTATATTCACTAGTTTAACATGATATGCAGCCATTTGTGGAAAACCATATTTAGGAAACGGTTACTGTACATTTAGCGTCATCTTATGATTTTGCAACGTTTAAAAAACGAATTTTGCAGAAATCGAATTCCAGGGGGAAGGGTGCTAGGAGCTAAAGAGGTAAAAAATTCCGTTTTTAAACTATATTAGATATATAAATTTGAAACTCTGCAAATATCTCTCTTTTGTTGCTGCTTTAGAAATCCCTGTTGTTTCAAAATCGAAAGGAAAGCGCTATAAAAATGTTGTTTTCACACAATCGAATGAGTGAGTGAATATTAACGTCGCACTCTTCAGCTACACGAGAGCTTTTGGCGATGGACTCCGTCATTTTGAACCATGGTCAAGTGACGTGGACGACACCGGAGTTGGCACCACCTCTCCTAACTACCACACCATATCGACGGGAGGACGTTTGAGCTCTCGACAGATTTAACGTGCATCGCTCCCCCACACGATGGGTCTTTAGTGGTACTGGGCTCGAACTCGTGACAAGGCTAGCCATGATTCGATACCTTGACCACTCGTTACCACGGCCCCTTCACACAACGAAAGCTTATTTCTAAGACTTCGATATCAATATTCAGGGTGATCTGCTACCAGACCGACAGATTTGCAGGGTGTGAAGGCGGTACAGAGGAATCACAAAGAATGCAGGGTCGCAAATGCCGCAGTTTCGAGCTACGGTTTAAAAAAAGCAAAGAAAAAGAACAGAAACAGCAGCACATTAACGGTGAGAAAACATTTTATCAAGAGGTTGTATTGCAACATGTGTTTGAAATTACTACCAAAAGTCGTCTGGAAGCCTGACAGTGACGCTGCATGGAATGCCTGAAGGTCTGGAAGATTTCTCCATGCAGTCTAGCGGTTTGATGGCTCTTGTTGAAATCAAATCAAATACTCTTTTAACCAATACGCATTAAGTTGAATAATTTAATTTTTATTACTTCTCAACAAACTTGTATCATCTTTTTCTTGTATTTGATGATTACAAAAATATGCATATATATCACGTTTTTTTACAATTTTGTTCTTTTACGCGGCCCTCTCATGAATAATAGCAAAAGGAGTTCTGAAGCTATAAAACCTTTGCACACAGAAAATACTCTTTTCATTATCATTGATTAACTGTAAAAGTTGGGTTCTGAAGCTTAACAAGAGATACTGGCAAAGGACACCGCCATTTGATCGCGGTGCAAAATGAAGAGGGCAACATCTAATCTGGCATCACACATTTTGAAATTTTCCTCCTCGCCCCATGCGAGTGCATTGAGACTTGGCTTATCTAATGTCGAAACATTTACACCAAAGGCCTCTTTAGCGGCATCAGGATTCGAACTCAGGATTCAACAGAAGCAATTGTGGCCTCGTGTTCGTGATCATGACCACTCGGCTACCATAACCACTCTTTTTCTACGGCAAAAACATAATTTTTTTCATTTGCTCGTTTTACTGATTATATCTGCGTTTTTACAATTTTTTTTCAAGGATCATTTGATCGTTTTGAAAAATATTCAACGCTTATCGCCTAAATTGATACCCATAGCGCTGCATCCAAAATCTTAAGTCATATTTCATTTCGAAAGCAATGCTTTTTTACAAAAGAAACGTATCATTAAAAATAATTGGTAAAAATAACAGAGTTTAAGGAATTATTTATGCCAGAACTATTTTCGTAATATAAATAGATAAGCTCTTAAATGGAAAATAAAGTGGGTCAACATATAAATCAAAGCATTTTTGTAATAATCATTTCGGCAAAAGAAACGAAAGAATACTTCAAAAAGGTAAGAAATAACGAAAGAAAAAAAAATGTTGGACCTGTTTGAAATTTAGTCTATTATCCAAAAAATGAATGTATGTTTGACAAAAGTGCAAAGGAAAAGATTGGTCTGATTTAAGAAATCAAATTACTTTATATTCCAGTTTATTTGTGGTCCAGTGCTTAATAATCACAATATAATTTGCGCAGTTTCATGCTAAAGATCCTTTCGAATGTTTAAAGATGAGAGTACAATTCTGAATTTCTACATTTTTCGGAATTTATAAAGGATTTGGAATAGAAAATGCAACGCGACGATGGTCGGTTTTGTTAGTAGCTTGTTAATGTCCCGATAACCAGATATGCGTGATTGAAGCTCTTTTTGAGAAATTTCATATTCCTTTCGGAATGGGTATCTATTTTAAGAAAATTCTTTTCAAGTTTGTTGGTTTTATCCGCTTTCAAAGAATCGGGTTCTTCTTGTCCGTCTTCATAACCTATCAAATTATTGATAATGTCACTTACAATCAAGCTCGGGCTGTTGGAGCGGCAACTGAACGTGCATTGTCGGGAGACTGTTTATAACCAATGAACAAAGAGCGTCTTGAAGTGTATATATGTACATTGCAGTGGCGTAACGTACATCCCCGCAAACCCCTACTCACGGGAGTAGGGGCAGGACTCTAGGGTCCCAATGTCTGACTAACGCCAAGTACGTATTTTCCCAATTTATAAAATATTAAAGGCAAAACCAGACTTTTCGGGGGGGCTAACATTCTCCATACCACTTGTACATTGATAGAAAACATTGCAGTGACGTCAAAGCCGTTAAAATTTATGCACCGCATAAAAAAAGATCGCACAGAAAAATCGCACAAAAATAAAATCGCATAAAAGCAGATTCTACTGTAATAAATGAAATTTAATCGAACTTAATCACAATTTAGCACCAAACAATATTTGGTTGTATTTACTCACTTACTCGAACCCTGTTTCCACTAAAGTACCTTTACAAAGGCTGATGCACCTTCCTTGGTGTGGACAGGGCGCCGCCTCATACGTCGACTTCGTCATCTGTCCACTTTTCCAAATTACAAGGCGTGTTATCTACGGACAGACAATCTTAGTGTCGAATATTCACCATCAAACAAATCGTAATTTTGGATCCCCGTTCCATGCGCTACGGTATTTGTAATTATATTCTGCTGCAGTATTTTACTTAGCAGGAAAGCATATTACTTTCGTCTGTCAATTTCATCCCCGATAATTTATTGTTTTCTTTTTTCAATGTATTGCCAATGCTAGACGAGGAAGGAGAAATTAGGCGACCTAACCTAAATCAAGTCTTCACTCAGAAGTAATTGGTTTCATGTTAGAAAAAAACAAAATGGTGCTTCATGATGACTTCCGACACATACATGCTTCAGAAAACTACTTTGATTCGGAGTAAAAAAACGAATACATAAAAACACAGACGAATGTTTTGCATCTGGAGGCCATTTCAGATGCTTGAAAAGAGGTGATTTATGTTGGCATGACACATAGTCCTGCAGGGAAAATATGTGAAAAACTGTTTAATAACTTTTTGAAATCAAATTAAATTTCTATTCGAATTTTCGATTAAAATTTAAATTATTAATCATAATCTTTAATCTATCGAATGATGCATAATTTTCGAATAATTATGTAAGGACAAAAATTAAAGAAATGGAATCAAATTAAATGTACTTTTAAAGCAATGTTAAACCCTTATTTTTTTTTTATCGCGTGATCGTGAAAGCGTTCGGAACTATTTTTCAATCCCTACTATTAGTTCATTCCCTCCTATATATATATATATATATATATATATATTATATATATATATATATATATATATATATATATATATATATATATATATATATATATATATATATATATAATATATATAAAAAAATTTTTTGTTAAAATTTTCAATCTTATTTTTTTTATTCATCCTTTTCGGGTTCAAATACTTTTTTAAACGTGGGATACATTATTTTAAATCATTTTTTAAATATTAATCCATTCATTAAATTTAATAAATGAATAAATATTAACGAACAAAAATAATAGTCCAACAGCAAATATAAATAAGGAAAATTGTTCGTTGTTTTAGTAGCGCAATGGATAGCGCTTTGGACTTTGAATTCAAAAGTCATGGGTTCGAATTCCACTTGGAATGGCCTAATTTCTGAGAATGTGATTTGTTTTTTACTATACTATTTTATTAATTTAATGAATGAATAAATAGTAACAAAGAAACACAAAAAATAGTCAAGCATCCCATATAGAAAGGAAAAAGGAAAACTACTTGGACAATCGCTTTCTCTTTTGGCACAATGTCAAATGTGTATACATATTTATATGAATTGTAATTATTTAATAAAAAGTAACAAAAATAAAATTTTACTTTGTTGGTCTAAGTAGGACTTAATTTTATTTTCTTATATTACTTGTTTCCGCTTACCTTACTATTTCACATGTATATAAATTAAAAAAAAACAACAGAATCTAGCTTTAACTTCTTTCTAGGCAAAAACAGACAAAGAAAATCTCCTTTCTCTCTCTCTTGTGTGATTAGTGTGTTGTTGTTTTTGTTACTAATGCCACTTGATTGGCAAAGGCCAGATCAGGCCCACGAAATTCATCATGGTAAAGGGCTAAATGACGCATGTCGTTATCCGTAACTTTGAGCACCATACAGGTGACAGAATGATTTAGCTCGTTTCCACCTCAATTTTGAGAAACAGCACCCTGTGGGTAATCAGGTACCTGTCACTTCTACCAACCTCACGAAAGGACTTGCGGCTTGACGTCTATTTTGAGTACTTCCATGCCGTACAATCACTATACATTTACAAACATCAATGCCTTCTCCGACCCCAACGGCACAGAAGTCACTAACCACTATACCAGATGGATGGCTATTTATATGTAACTTAAAATAGAGCGGAATAACTTTTTTTAATTTTGGACCAAGACCAAGTCTATATGTCGCAGGGAAATGATGAAATTAGGAATTTCATCAAATCTTTAAGGGATATGATCAATTGAAGGGAGATGTTAAAATAACGTCTCTTCAAGGTCATTTTGCTGATGAAAGTAAGTGATTTTAACAAATCCCTGAAATGCTTCAGTGAAATGAACTAGTCAGGATTTGCATTGGCAAAATGCTCTCTAGGGGGGTGGTAAGGTAGTACTATCGATCCCCTAAATAGCACACACACACACACACAACCCCATATCTTTAAAAAAAAGGGGACCATAGTTGATATTTTAGTGTGTGCAGGAGGAGAGATGTTACACATCCAAAAATACCAGCTAATTTTTTTAATTTTTTGTTAATTAGTTTTGAAAAAATTTGTATTTCATTCACTATTGTTGTAATTTTCTTCTACGTTTAATAATGCACCCGTTTTTAAAAAAATCTTTTTAAAATCATGGAATATTATTTCATCATTTCACGAAACAGATCAGGGGCTTTTTCCCTCTTTTCTTTTTTTCAGAGAAATGACCTTGAAGAGACGTTATTTTAACATCTCCCCTCAACTGATCATCTCCCTTTTGGGTTTGAAAATTCATATTTTATCATTTTTTGCGAAAACACATGAAAAAAATTTGAATAATACTCCTAAACGAGTAAAAAATTCGTTAAAGTATCCTACATTTTCTTTATCATTTATAGATTTTCTGTTTAATTAAAAATATAAATAAATTACTTAGCTGCTCCAACTGGTGACGGGGTTAGTTTGGCGCTGGCCTTAAACGCCAAAGTTTGAGGGTTTGAACACGGCCCAAGTAGGTGTATTTGTATGATGCAAAAAATCGACAGCGTCCATGGCGTATGAATATGCGGCCTGTTAAAGATCCATAGATTGCCTGTTTGGCTTGGGTGCTGTATGAAAAATTGAATTCCTAGTACCATTTCGCATCGTCTGAGCTGAGGTGTCTCCCTCTAGGGAGGAAATTGGGCATCAAAATTGCATTGCAGTGATTGGTACTCCACCTATAGGGTGCCGCACTAAATTCCCAGGGTAAATACCAATCCACAACATCATTGGAAATAAAAAATATGAAGGCGATACATAAGTTATAGAGGTAATCGCGAAATTTAGGTTACGTAGGTTCATTTATATAGGCTATTTTTATTTAATATGCTGTAATGGAAGTTAATTCGATCTACTTTCCTCACTCAAAAAAATCCATAGTCAATACCATATTCCATTCTCATTTCACTTTTCTATACGGACAAGATTAGACTTCCTATTTTAGCGCATACCTATACTTATTGCCAACTTGGAGTTCTATCATCACATATAGTCCAATAGAGATTCAATGTAGAAAAATGAGTCATTGACGTGATTTGGCTTCATTTATACTTCGTGAGACTTAATCAGACACATATACTTGGAACAATCATTTCAGGAAATTTTCAAAAGCAGTGGTTGAAGGGTTGCTGTACATAAAACGATACTCTATGACATCAGCCACACCTTATCTTCACATTGAAAAATTACTCACCTATTTTTGTGCCACGGAAAATGAACATCCAATATTACACTGGTGTGCAAAACTTAAGCAACAGGTGGGTTTATTGCCATAACATCACGAAAAATCATCTGAGGGGCTTGAATTCTAAATGGGGAGAGTATTATGTACGTAAGGATGACGAAACATTGCCGCTGAAAAAGGCGCTGCAACGCATACGGTATGGAGAAAAACAAAAACAAGCTTTATTAAACCCATAGTATCGTGACTTATGATTGTCTATAACGGGAACAAAAAACAAATTTTCCCCTTAATATGGTATATTCCCCCCTTAAAAGGTTGTTTTGCAAATCCCCCGCATACTAGAACCAGCTGGTGCAACTTGGGGTAGATGCCCATTCCTCAATCAACATCTGTTTGAGTTGTTGGTTGTTCCCCGGGATGATGGCGGTGGAGCGTCCCCCCAAAACACCCCACACAGTTGGGGATTTAAATCAAGACCGGCTAATCCATTCGGGGATATCTTCACTTTCAGCAGCTCCTCAACAGCAAAGTAGATGTGGCCGTGCTTGCCATCCAAAAATGAAGTCTAATGGCTTGGAAAAAAGAGCCAGGGGGAAAAGTACCCCTCCAATACGACCCCCGGTTACACCCCCTCTGTCAAAAATGTGAAACTCAGTTCCCCCCGTTCGCATAATGCCTCCCCGACAAGAACTTCGGACCACCGTAACGGTGTTTTCCTTGATATTCGGGGATAAAACCGGGGCCCCGATCTCTCTCCAAATCAAACGCGTTGAGAACGCTTTTCAAACCGACTCTCATCCGTAAGGGGACACGACTCCATTGATCATTTGCCTTTTTTGTCTCTCGGGCCCCCTGTAAACGGTGGCCAACTTTCAACAGGAGGCAGCGTTCGGGCCCTGGCGCAGGCCCCCTTTGGAAGGAGTCCCCACGTAAACCCGACTTGTCGCCCCGTTGCTGTACAGATTTTCTGAGCGGCGCTTCTGACTGCGTCGCCCCTTTTTTCACCGCGGATGATTTTGGGTCACCCCCTTGCGTTTCGTCCCGGCGAACCCAAACCTTTCTAAAAGCTGTACCTTTGGTTTGGAACGCTTTCAAGCGCGCGAAAAGACACTTTTTTTGATTCCCAACTCTGCAGCTACACTGGTGACGGGATGCCCCCAATCCCCCGATCATTCTTTCGTGTGAAGTCGTCCGGGGATTTCTTTAGCCATATTTCACGAACTGACTCACTCCCGCAGCAATATGTTGAATTTTTCTCCGTCCTTCATTTTATTCTACTGTTGAGCATGCGCGCCACATCACCTTTTCGTACCTCACATCCTTCGACGTTTTGTTCCCGATATTTGCATACGCATGACGTTTCTACTGAAAGTGTTCCTGTCTGATCTCCAGACCTCCCTTTTTTGCAATTTCCCCGGCTACCCAAATTTTTCATTGTTGCTTGTTTTGCACACCAGTGTATTTCTTTTTTTTCCCCGCGCTTTTGTTGACGGCCGTAAACAGAAATGGAGGACCATTCTGTTTAACATATAAACGCCATTTCTGATGCGTTTGACGAAACCGAAGCTGCCATCTTGTTCATAAAGTAGGGAGGCAAAGAACCCCATTGGCTGGATTTTCAAGCAATTTTTGTTTGGATAAATTCTTTCAGCTCACTTGGAAAAAATTGTTCGGAGCCGTTGCTCAGACAACAAGGTAGAAATTTCTCAGAATGGTTGCTTTCAGGAAAATTTCTCAAAATACGTAAACGTGTGTTAAGGCCTTTAGTCATCATTACAGGGAACTAAACTGGGATTAACACGAGGCTATTGTGTACAGACTTCAACAATTTTAATCCTGTTCAAGAGATGAGGATAGTACATCAACCTCTAAATTTACACCACACACCAACATGAGCATTTTGAGCTCCGTTAGAGTTTAGATACATCAGTCCTTGTACATGACGAGTGCCACTCATCCGTAGGCCGTAGAGTGCTGGGCCCCATGAAAGGCCGTACGGCTTGAGCTCGAATTCTGAAGAAGGCATGGATGTTTGTAAATGTGTACTGCTTTTACGGCATGGGGGTATTCTAAATAGCCCTCAACTGCAAATCCTCTCGTGAGTTTGGTAGAAGGAAAATAGAGGTGGAAGGCCCATGGCATCCCCAGGGGGCTCTCCCCAAAATTGGGGTGGCACCGAGCCAAATTGCACTGTCAGCTGTACGGTGCTCAAAGCTACAGATAACGACATGCATACATCTAGCCCTTTGCCGTTATGAATTTCGTGGGCCTCAATCTGGAATCGTCAGATTTGGTATTAGCAACAACGACAGCCCGAAGAGTATTTAATGGCTTCAGAGCTCGAGTGAGTGAGAGTTTTATTAAAGTAAAAAAAAGAGGGAATGGGACGGACTCGTCTTTTTTGAGCCATGGTCAAGTAACGAGGATTACACCCGATCTGGCACCCCCTCTCCTAACTAACACACTGCACCAACGGGAGGATTTTTGAGCTGACTTTCAACTATCGCCCCACACGTCCGGTCTTCAGTGGCACCAGTATTCGAACCCGCGACCCTCCGACCACGAGTGCATGACCATAAACACTACGAAACAAACCCAAAATTAGTTCGGAAAAAAATATATCCCCCCCTTTGGTCATTTTTCTTGGGGGATTTTTTTTTTTTCCTTTAC